GGTACCGGCTTCGGCGGGTAGCCCGGGGCAGGTCGGAGGGGTAGGGGTTGGAGGGAGAAGCGGCGGAGGTTCGCCTGAGGGCAGGTGGAGCCGGGGGGCTGCGAGATGGGTCGTGCTCAGGGCGTTCCCCCGGGTGCTGAGGGGGGAGGCAGGAGGGCGGCAGGCTCTACCCCGCGTCTTTTATCTTCCTTTTTTAAATTTTCTCCTTGCCCTGAAGGAGTTGGAGCTCCTCTCCCCGGGCCCGGGAGGGCGGGCGGGGGCTGCCCGGCCCAGGGCCCTTCCCTGAGGGGTCCGGGCTGCCCGGCCTGTCCCTCCCGGCTGCTGGATTTCAGGAGAGGGGTGGTCAGAGAGGGTCTAAAAGCAGCCCAAGGGAGAAAGCTGCAGGTTTCCCGCTGTGCCCTTAGGGACCTCTGGGGACCGTGAATCCGAGACCTACCTCGGCCGGGGAAGGACATGGAATAGGTTTCGGTAGCGCGGAGAAGTCCGATTTTAATCTGCTTATAAAGCAGGGACCCTTCCGTAACTAGCTCTGCCTGCTCCTTTTATGCTTAGAGGATGAGACACAAATCCTAAGAAAGTTCACAACGCACGGGAAGCGCCGTGACAAGGGTGCAGTTGGACTCCTTAGTTTAACGGCTGATTTAAAAAAAACACCAAACAACAGCCCAATTTTTTTTTTCACTGACACGGGCTATCGCTATCAAATTTAATCGGTTGTTAATAGGGAAGCTTTTCTGTGCGGCTCTGACTGTCTTTTTTTTCCCCACCCCTGTAACAAAAACGGCAGTTGGCAGGAGATCATCGAGAGATGCTTTTAGCAAACACCTTTGAGCTGGCTCGGGGGAGGGGCTGGGCACGAATTTATTAAATTTGTTAGAGAGTATGTGGCAGCTGATTTATCGCGATTTAAAAGCTGAGGTCAAGTAGTTATGCTTGTTCATTCTGTTGAAGTATCTGGGGGGGAAGGGTTGGGAAGGTAAATAGGTCTATATTGCACAACTCTGTTGGAGTGGAGCAGTTTTGGAAAAAACATAATCTTGTACTTGAGAGGCTGTAATTGTCTGAGACAGCCATTGCGGAACACTTCTTAACAGGGGCATAGACTCAAATTGCCTTAAAATGAGTTCTTTCTCTCATTTCCCCCCCTCCCCCATTGTCCCAAATGAAGGACTCTCATGAGAGTGTGGGTTGGGGGTAGGTCTGAAAACGTCAAATGATTGGCACCAATTGTAAGATGACTTTCTAACCACGTCAGTTTTTTTATCTTGTGAGAAGTAAACTTTCTCATGTCTGTTTTTCTGCGAACTAACTTCGCCACTTGCTGCAATTTCAACTCTTCGGAGAGTTGTGCTCCTGTAGTCGTCTTGTCTTCTCATCGGTTGCTTTCTATTTATATTTTTTGGGAGCTGTGCTTAAGTGCCAGCTGATGGACTTTTGTAATGCTTCGTTCTTGATCGAGTTAACTTTAACATCACAACCAGATGAAGGTATTTTGTTTTGCTTTCTCTGTTAAGATGTTGAATGCTGGCAGTAGTGGTTCTGTTATATTGTGCAAAATGAGCGTGTTGATTTAAACTGTTTTAAGAGTCAAGTCTTTGCTATAATTATGCAGGTCTTTTTGTTTATCTGTCTATCTATATGAAATACATAGTCGGCATGGACTGTTGAGAGTAAAATGCATGCCAGGTCTGAAACGTGTATGTGAACAGTGCTTCCAGGAGAGTATAGACATATGGCTACTCAGTTTGTTATTTCAAATGTGTCTTTTAACTCTTTTGCCCCCAGCATCACGATTGCTTTCTCTGAGCATAGGAACTGCGTTTAACATGGCTGTGGGGGTTTTCAGGAGGTAGATTCATGCGGTTTCTAAAGATTAGGGTCAGTCTGTTGCTTTGGGGGCTGATCTATCTTAAAATACATCATTACGAGGCTGATCTTCAGGCTTTGTTTCAAATTTGTATTTTTGTCTTCAAAATACCTCTAGTCTTTAGTTTCTAAATTAGTCAAGCATCTGGGCAAACATGTAGGTATATTCCTTAGGGGATTGTAGTGCATTGCTTAGATCACGGGGTTGTCTTGTTTATGTTAGCAAAGGAGATAGATCCTTCAGTACTTTCTTGCTTGGAGTGGAAGGGGAATAGCCAACTGAGATCATGCCGAAGAAGAGCACCAAAAACTCTACAGCAGCCCAAGGGAAGGGCACAGGACCTTCGGAGGAGTCCAGTGACATGGAAGTGGAAAATGAAGGTGACAAACAGCTTACTGAGGCACCTCCACAAGGTAGGTCTGAATATCGTGGTTCTGATGGTGTGTAAAGTTGATGATAGGGCCTATTTAGCAACAACGTTCTGTTGAATTTGCCAACTGTTCCAGATAGAATTTGCTCTTTTCTCTTATGGAAAGGAGTATTGAAATCCTTGACTCCTGACAAGTTTAAACTAAACCTCTTTTAAAATGGTGAAGAGGACTTGCAAAGAGTTAAAAGTGTTTGAACTAGTGATTTAGTACAAATGCAAAAGCAATCTGTAGGATTTCTCCTAATAAAGCTTATTTCATGTTTCTGATCTGTAACATTGTACTGCAGATTGTGGTACAACAGCAGGGTTTTTCAAATTTATATGCAGCCAATGGTATGGGATTTCTTGGAATGGAATAAATGTCAAGTTTATTTACTTAACTCTTAAAATGATTTGACTTTCTTTTTCATTAAGCGGTATATTTTCTTGAGTTTCTTGAGTTGAGATTTTGCTGAAAATGTCTGGAAAAACAGCAGTGTGTGTCTTTTTAGGTAACCAGATATGCAATTATTAAAGCCAGGTATTTGACAAAGAGATGAATATGTGGAAATTGGTGGCAAAAACTCCTGCCTGTTTGAAGAAAAAGTTGCTAGCAACTGTTGAAAAGCTGCTTTGCTTACAACTAGCTGATATCCAGGGGGCCAGTTTGTTTTCGTAACAAACTTCCTGTCTTTGCAGAGTAGTTGTGCTGTCATTACAGCTTTCAGAGCATTGTGCAGCGAGCCCCAAATCTTGCAGAGTGACTTGTGAGCACGCTTGAAATGTGGCTTTGCACTTATTAATTAGGAAGACTTTGCCTGTTTCAGATTTGGAGGCTTATTGTGACGGTTGTAGCTATTGTAATTGCAGAGTGCCTATTAAAGTGTGTTGGGATAAGAATTACATAATGAAAGAGCAAACCCACTAGTGAATCGATGGGACGTCTTCAGTATCTCTTCTTAAAGATTCAGCTCATGAAAAGAAGGATTTTAATTCCACTTAGGTCATTTTAATATTTACAGACAAAATTATAGGCTTGGTTCATATAGAAATGATGTTTGCTTTTTCAGTTGAACATTTTAAAAGGTGTCTAGCTATTGAGAGCTTATAGTCTTTTTTTCCTTTCTGTTTGTTTTGGATGGCTTTTAGCAGTCTCGGATGAGGTGCTTGATAATCGAAGTTTAGAAGAGATTTTGGGTAGCATCCCTCCTCCCCCACCTCCAGCCATGACCAATGAACCTGGTGCTCCTCGTCTCATGATAACTCATATTGTAAACCAGAACTTCAAATCCTATGCAGGGGAGCAAACTTTGGGACCTTTTCATAAGGTATCTTTCTTTTACCTTAAGCATTTTAAAAATGAAGGTAAGACTTTGCTGTGTGTTAGTTATTCCTTCCTGTATTTTCAAGTCACTTACCTCAAAATAACTGAAAAATATTTGTTTTAGAATTACTTATATAGTGATATTCTAAATTTTCATTATTGGACAGTATTGAAAACAGTTAAGTGCAACTTTCTGATACTGTGTAATTTTAACTTATCAGCAAACCTTAAAAAAAGCCCTCTTTTCTCTTTATTTCGTTGACTGGGGAGCTTTTAGGGGTGTGTTTGAAGAATTGAGAATATTTTTTAGTGCCCACAAGAGACCTACGTGGCTAATCATGAAACCTTCCCTGCGAACATGCCTGCAAAGTGCAGTGTCGCTTTGAGTTAACAAGCTACAACTTAGAAAGCTGATTTGAGGTGTGAGGGGGTTTTTTTTCTTAAAGAAGTTGTACTGCTTTACCTTTGGCACTAAAAACTGAGCTATCAGTCTGCAGTTTCATGCACTAGAAATAATTGTGTGTGAAACTGTTTGCAGATGAAATGGGTGATGTGCAGTAGCTAGCATCTGTTTCCCTTTGAATATCACTTTTTTTCCCTTCTATTATGCAGCGTTTTTCATGTATTATTGGGCCAAATGGCAGTGGGAAATCCAATGTCATTGATTCGATGCTTTTTGTGTTTGGGTATCGAGCACAAAAAATCAGATCCAAAAAACTCTCTGTGCTGATCCATAATTCTGACGAACACAAGGACATCCAGAGTTGTTCTGTGGAAGTCCACTTCCAAAAGATCATTGACAAGGTATGTATGCTTCTGTTCAGAACAGTGCAGACTTTTTTTTTTTCTTCAAGGGTTTGAAAGCTTTTAATATTTAGTTATTATTGTTTGAGTTGGGGAAAACTTCACAGTATGATTAGTTTACCTTTGGGATGTAAAACATAAATTCAAAGTTAACTAGCTTAAAAATTCCTCTATTTTGTAGTGCAGTTGTTAAAATATTAATAGGGATTCTTTATTTTCTTAAAGTCTAATATGTGTTTTAAAACTATTCAGAAATATGTAGTGAACATTTTAAGAAGTCGTTTTGGACTTGTCACCTCTACTACCTCTCAAGTAAATAAAACTTATTTCTGAAATTAATAAGACCTCTAAGAATTTATAAGTCTACATTAAGATATTCTTAAATTTATAACATAGGCATATCTGTTAAGAAATAAAATCTATTTAAGCAAAACTTTTCAAACCAATTGGAAACTATTTTAGGTTATCTAAATTTAGAAAAACATATAATGAATCTGAAACTTTTTATTTACACTCTATATACTGTAAATATGTCTGCAGTTTTAAAATAGATTTTTCACCAAAAATTCTGGACCTCTCATCCTATCACTAAATATTTTTGGACTTGATATTTTGTTTGAATGAAATATAAAGTGTTGGCAGATTAAATAAATATTTATTTTGCTTGCCACTTCATGTATTGATCAAAACCTGTGGACATTTTTGTTGCTTTATTGTAGGTACAGTGCAAGAAATTTATTTTTCTTCCTTTATTTAAATTTAATTTTTGTGCACACATTCTAGCTGAAGTAGCAACTGTTGAGTTTGAGCTCAGTCAAAATAGTGGGAAATATACACTGAAATTCCAAAAATTATGTTGATAATGTAGCAATTTATACAGCCTTTGAAGGAAGTGTTTGAAAGATGTATTTTTTTAAATTTGACTTGATATACACACACACCCCCTACCTTTTGTTTGTATTTATAATAACCAGATTCAAAAATTATTGCATTTTTTTTCACTTGACTTTGTATTCACATCTAGGAGCTAAGTTTATGATCTAAAAAACTTCTGCATATAGTAGATAGCAATTTGATTGTGCTCTTGGGGGTTAATCTGGGAAAGTGGTAGGCCAGTTTAAGTCTTTACAAGAGGCATGCACCACTTTTAACTTTTTCAAGTCCACTACCAGCTTGATTTTAGTTGCTGCTTTGTAGGTAAGTGTAAGATATCTTTTGAAACTGATGAGGTCATATTTGTCACATCTTTAATGTTTTGCTTTTTTATCTTCTACAGTTTCTCTTTAGAACTACTGAGCTAAAAGTAACTCCTTTTGCTAGCAGTATAAAAGAGGAGTTTAAAATGCAGGCACTAGTGAAGTCATTCAAGACTTCCTCATCTAACATTTAAAGGGGGGGAATAGCACAGGCACTTGAAATTTGAAGTAGGCTTTTTCCTTTGTGATTTAAAGCAGAGCTAAAGAGAAAAAAATAAATATTTTCAAAGCAATAGCTTGTATTAGAGGTGGGGAAAGCACAATATGAAGGAAATGAAGTTTAAGCTATTTGGGGTATTTTAAATTTTTTTTTCCTAGATTTTTTTTTCTTTTTTTTTTTTTTTTTTTGAGATATGCAGCTTTAAGGCAGTTCCCACTTCTTCTAGACCCCTGAGTGCAGTTGACTGAAAACCTGACCCTGATTAAAACTTCTGTGCTTAATTATGAAATATGAGGTAAATCTGTGATATAGTAATTGTTTTTCTGGCTTTGTTTTTCCTCAAAACAGGAAGGAGATGATTACGAAGTCATTCCTAACAGCAATTTTTGTGTGTCCAGAACTGCTTATAGAGATAATTCTTCTGTCTACCACATCAATGGAAAGAAAACAACATTCAAAGATGTTGGTATTCTTCTTCGAAGCCATGGAATTGATCTGGACCATAACAGGTTCTTAATTTTACAGGTTGGTGTATGAATAAAAACAATTTTAAGTAAACTTGTTTTTCCAGTTACAGCTATAAAAATATACTGTGTAGGTTTTAAGTCTGGTATTGGAGGCCTTAAAGTCCTTTAGCAGCACATCATGATTTGCATGCTCTGGTAAAGATGCGAATCATTATTTGCTGCTTTAGAAATTTAAGGAAGATAAACAGTTGAAGATATCTTAATCTAAATTTTTCTCTTAACAAACCTGTGCTCCTGACATGTGGATGAATAGAAGAGTTGTCCTACTTGTTCCGCCCTAGCAGCACGTAAATATTGGCGTAGTAAAATAAACCTTAAACCCCAATATTATTGTGCTGCTTAAGCGTGGCAGAGATTCATCAACTTGTTATGCTTTAGATAAAAGTGCATCAATATTAACTTAAATCTTAATGATTTTACTGTTAAGTTATCTCTGACTCTCATCAATAGATTTGGTTTTACTGGAGAAGTATGTATAGAAAAATTAATTGTGCATAGATATTGGGTGCAAGAAAAAACGTATGAAGTGTGCTTTTTGTTTACACTTGTGTAACAACTGAAGAGGACACAAAGAATGGCAGCTTTACAGCCAATTCAAGCTATGTTTTTAAAAGCTAGTTTACAACCCATACTGTAAAAATAAACAATCATAGAATCTGTCTATATAATAACATTTATATTCATGTTTGACCTTAAAATTATAAGACTTGCTGGCATATGTTTGCAGTTTAAAAGACAGGCTGAAGACAATCACCTTTTTTTTTTTTCCTAATTTTTAAATAATGAAGAATTTTGCTAGGTGTCAAACAACAAAGTATAAAAAGTATAAATTGAGTTAAAGTACTTGATGGAAGTATTTAAATATTAATTCAATTGAGTAACTATATCTGCCATTACCTGGAACTATTTCACTACTATTACTAACAGGTCCCAAATCTGAAGGATCATGGCCTACAAAATTGGTGAACACTGGGAGCCTCCCAAGGTCTGAAATTTTTCAATACTGTTTATTTTAGGCCTGTTTTTGTCAAAGGAGCTTCCAGTTCCCCTCTAAAAAAAAATATCATTCTAGATAGGTCGCTGTGCTTGCTTCACTTCCTCAAGCCTTTTCGTGCAGTCTTTTTACAGTTACACCCACAAAAAGAGGATATATCTGTTTTGAAGTCTCCATGCCAATTAATTATTCCCTCCAACACTATATTCCTGTGTTTTATTTCAAGATGGAGTGAGAAGTACCTCCAACAAAACAACTGTAGTAAATATACTCTTTTTTTTTTTCTTCTGTACAGTTGTTCTGAACTATCATTTTAGCAAAATTTCTAAAAGTCAGAATGTAGAGTCAAAGATAAGGTAGAAATTATGGTGCAGAGAGGCCTAGGGCTTAGTGCTAGATAGCATGCCTTTTACCTCTGGGAGGAGGGGAAGGGAATATTTGGGAGGGAGTATTACTAAGCTTTTAAAAGTAATTTTTTTTTTTTTCCCCCAAATGTGATTTGTTTTCTTGTCTCATTGATATTTTTTTTTATTATTATTTTTTCCTGGGAAGTTACCAATGAACAGAACATACTTTTCCTAAAAGCTTAAGTTTGATGCTTTCCCCTGTATGGTGGGCAGAAAGGGGGGTATAACCAATATGAAGGCATAAAGCAGTGGTTCCCACCATACTTTTGTTTCTTTCATTCCACTGGACTCCTCGTGGGTTGTGTATTATCACAAACATAAGAGGAAAGTACTGAGATTTTCTGCGTTTCTGTAGCCTGTCTTCCTGAGGCAAGGTCCTTTCTGTTTGCACAGGAGGTTTTGTGCCTTTTTAAAGTGAAATCTATTGATTTGGTGATTCAAAGTTGAGTACTTTCCATGTGGGAAATGTGGCAGTATTTTCCACATAATGACAGCAGAAATCCAAGCCCCTAATACTAAAAATTAGAAGGAAATGAGACCATGTCTGAAGGCTAAGGTTGTGAACTACTATCACAGGGGTTGCCCCTTTTCCCCTAAGGTATTTCAAAGTAAGTTATTTAAAACTGGAGACATAAGTAACAGGTTTATTTAGCTTTTACTCTTCTCTTGTTACAGCTAAACTAATATACACTGCCTGAAGTCTAACTTAGTCAGACTCATTTCTCATTTAACAGAAGTTATAAATCTCTAATTTTTTTACTATGTCAATAGGGTGTAATGCAAATATTTTACTTGGAATATATATTTTGGGCAAAAATGTTAATTAGGGATTATCAAATACTGGTTTTGGTGTGTGACAGAATATTCACTAGTTAGTACTAAAGAAAATGTGTTAAGAGGACCTATCTTACATGTAGTAACAATCTTTAGATACTTCAATATATCTTGCTAGCATATTTAGGATTACAGAGTGGAAAATAGTTGCTTTGAAGAAGAATGTTTAATTTTTTTTCAGTTTCTTAGCCCCATGCCACCCCCTATTTTGCAGTCTTTTTCCAGCAGAGCAGATTTTGGTGCCTTTTGGGGTAAAATTGGAAAGCTCTGGCCTGCCTGACTTAATTTTGTAAAAGATGGGTAGGGATGGGACAGGTATGTCTGCTGATGCCAAACTGAAAATACAAAAATCAAACTACTGATGACTTCTGAGAGTAACATTACAAAGTAACACCTATGGAAAATCAGAATGTGCAAGACTGAGCAGTTCTAGCATTTTTTTACTCATTCTGTGCCTGAACTAGCTAGTTGGAAAAAAAAAAAATCTTGTTTAAAAATGGGTTTGGTTACAATGGGATATTGCCAACACTTAACAGGAGGAGCTTGTAATTTTTGTGATCCTTAAGTTCTAAGACTACATATTTCACATTTTTAATAAATTGCTATATGGTTTTAGTACTTTAGGAATAGGCAGCTGTTCAGGACATGTTTAATTTTTAATGTTTCAGGCCACAGCCTGAAACTGCAACAGGAAAAAAATGCATCTTGTAACTTTAAAAAAAAAAAAAAGTATGCTAAGCAGTGTGGTAAAATCTAGCATCTTGCTGCTGTTTTGTCTGTCTTCCACACTTAAAGCCCCAGCTTCAGTAACTGGTATCTCTTTAAAGAACAACAAATACATGACTTGGCTTTTCTCAAAAGACTTGCTTGGAACAGTGCAGATGGACAGAAAATGTGTGTGGGTCTGTGCTCTGACCTGCTGGGCAGAGCTCCCAAGGTAAGTGTGTTTGCTGGGGCTCAGTAGTGACTCTTCTGAGCCACTTAACCTTGAAGCCAGAAAAAAAAAATCTCAGTCTCTTTATGCTGGCTGGTTTGCTTCTTAGGGATTATTAAATAAATGGGGAGAAAATGTCACTTTTTGGACATGGCAGGGTAAGTATGTTTGGGGAGCAGTGCACTGGCTGTGGACAGCAACCACTCATGCCTGCTAAAATTGGCTTTTGCAGGCTTGCAAGGTAAGAGTAGACAATACAAACTTCTTAAAAGGAAAGTGGAGTTTCACAGGTAACTCCCATTCCTTGGGAATGGATATTGTGGAAATAAATGGCACAAGACTTTGAATGAATTCTGTACTAAAAGGCTTGTATCATGGGAGCAGAATTCTGTGAGTTGATTTGAATTTACTTCCTTTCAAACAAATTGGAGCTGTTTTAAATAAATTTTGTACTAATTACAGTAGTATTTCACTTAAATGTGTTTGATACACTTAATTAAAATAGCCTCATGTAATCCCAAGCAAGTATAAACAACTGCAGTGATTTTATATGTGTGTATTTTTGTAACTGATTGGAACAGCATTTTGTAAAGTACTAAGTCTTATCCTATGGCAAGATTATGTTGCCAGAAAGGAAGTTCAGTCAAGTTTTTCACCTGCTGCTTTGTGGAAATAATGTAGAAGTCACTCTTCCAGTGTACTGGAGAGGAAATGAGGGAGAGCAGATTTTCTTCTTGCTTTGAGATAAGCCAAAAGTTCCCAGTGGTTGAGGTCTGGTCTCCTGATGAGGCACACCAACACTGGAGCTCAAGCTGTAAAGCTCTGCTGGGATTAGAAATGGAGATCCCTGCTGCCAGCCTTGGTTGGGAAGAGGGGTTTGTTCTGGAAAGGTCAAGGACAGCTGAGCAGAAGTGGTAGGCAGAAAGCAAGTGTGAGATATAATTAAGTAAAAATAGATTATTTGAATAAAATATTACGTAAAAAACAGGAGCTTCACTGATTCATGGGGGACAGAATCAATGTCCCTGTTGAACCATTCCACTCTGTGCTGAGGTGAATGTAGAGCAGCATAAGATCTGCTATGAGGTCCACGTGCAGTTTCAAAATTAATTCTCCTACATGATCAGAAAACTTATGTTGGTGATTCATGTGATTTTTATTTTGCAAATTGCAACATAACATTGCAACCACTGTTTGTTAAGCTTTCTTCAGAAAACTGGGGAAATATGGAAAGTGGAGAAAAGCACTTTTCTAGGGGCAATGTTTAATTGAGAGTGATCAATTAAATAGTTTAATTAGAACATACCAATAAATCTACAAAAAACATTGTAGGTTTGACAATAACTGACTTAGATTCCAAAGTGACTCTGAATTTGCACTCAATTTGTATTCTTGTATTAAATACAAGAATGTCCTTAAGAAAGCTTCTAAAATTAGACAGATGTGCAAACAGCTTGACAAAGGCTACTTTTAAATTATTTCCAGAATGCAGAATAGTAGTTTTGTGCAAACAAATGAGTGTTGTATAACAGGCTAATTCTAATTTTTTTGGTCATCTTTGCACAGTAGTGGCTGTGTAGGTTTGTGTATGTGCATTTATTAATTGTTTTTTTGATTTCCCACCTAGCTTCTAACACTTTCCTTGGAAGGCAGAGCATGAAGTCATTATTTGCTATCTGGTAAAACTGAAGGGTAGAAATGAGATAGGACTGCAAGCATTAAGTAGTAGCAGCAATAACATGGAATTGGAAAAAAAAAACCCAAACACAACCCCCACAACAAACTGTTCTGGCTTATAACAAGAACTCTAATACAGTCTCATTTCCAGG